CTTTATACTGGTAGGAACCTGGTTACACCAGCCCACAGGGTATTATTGTGTCCGTCCGTCGTGCAGGGAGGGGCTGGGTGGGGATGGAGGGGCTGGGTGGGGATGGAGGGGCTGGGTGGGGAGGGGAGGGTGGGGAGGGGCTGGGTGGGGAGGGGCTGGGTGGGGAGGGTGGGGCTGGGTGGGGGGTGGGGGCTGGGTGGGGAGGGGCTGGTCACCCCGTGGTGCCCTTATAAAACTCAACGTTTAACCTACTCACGCCGGCTTGTGCCCGCCCTCACAGTCGGCCATATTTGCGGAATACACCACGCCGCCGTTGACCCTGGCCATTGACCAAGCAACCCAACGTTCCTATCAGCTCCCCACGCAGGAATGTGTTAATTTTGGAAACAATTTGCAGGAACTACCTTGTTCCTCTACTCCATTGTATACGGGTGGCCGTCAAATCCTTTTGTAGACTTATCTTCTTGGAATTCATACGTTTTATTTCAATTAAAATTGCTCCCCAATAGCATCTGCGGCTCATGCTACACAAATAAGTCTGACTTACCGGATGTTATTGCGAAGTGGCCTCCCTCTACACAATAGGATCGTCAGCACAAAACGAGCAACACTGTGCATTTTGTAAATCTGAATAATGGAGTGGTTGTAGTATAGAAATTAATCGGATTCTGTTCGATAAGTCCTCTTGAACTGTTATATATTTTTTGCAGGGCCTTCATCCAGCAGTGGATTGATTATGACTCACGGTTATGGTTTTATTTGCAAATATAATACTCTAGTGGCGTTTTGCAACTTGTTATGGCTATTTGCTTACTTGTAAATGCGGATGTTAATCAATCTATCAATCTTGACTTAAAGTTTCGTGACTGCAGGAATTCATATTCTTTGGGTCTTTCGGTAAAGTCACGTAGATAGGTTCAACGGAAATTGTGATTATTCATTATATTTATTTAAATGTTTATATTTTTTGATTATCCGTCATTAGCGTGGATAATCGAGAGTCTACTATGTATAACAATTTTTATTTTCGTTCAACCTATCTACGTGACTTTACCGAAAGACCCAAGGAATAATCGATCAATCCCCCCTCTGAATGGTGCATTGTGAATTTTTATATCCTCATAATTTCGTGTAGTACAATGAGTAATGACATCCCACCTCCATCTGAGGAGGAAGTCTCAGCCTTTCCTGAGCTGTTACAAAATCCTTCTGGGTAAACATTCGACCGGGATAAATGAAGACAATGGCCAGGTGGCTCAGAGGTTGAGTGAGTGGCCCACCATCAAAAATACTATGAATTAAAATCATGTTGGGTGTTGACCCATCATCCCTCTGGGGTTGTTAAAATGAGTACTACTTTGTGACAGATGTGTGAAGGGAGGCGTACTGTCTGCTCGGTTACTTTGATACTGCCTCGGTGAACATTTTAGCAGGGAATCATTTAGCCTTTCGTCATAAAATAGGCAAGTTGTGAACCCAAAACATTCGGCGATTGAGCAACCATTTGGGATATATATATTTTCTCTCTCTCTCTCTCCAAATGTACAACTAAAGGGTAAGACAGTCAGTTCTGCTTCACGGTTTTCCATTCGGCGTTTTCCATTTCTGGTGGTGTGCGGTTGTGTTATTTCAAATTTCCAGACCGTGACCTCATGCAGCAGGCAACAGAAAGCCCCCCTTGCATCCCACTTGAGCGACGCGGGCAACATACCGCGACGAGCTCGTGAGCAAGAGGGCCGTCACGTGAACCCGGGCGTGGGCTCAAGACCGGTCGCGATCTATGGAGCGGGAAGTTCACGATGTTTTCCCCAATGCCCCGCGAATGGGTGTGGGGGTAGGGGAAAAACCCTTGATACATCGAATATAGTTGAACACGTGTGAGGCTTTCGCGACCAATATTATTCATAATCAACGTTTTTGGGTTAGGGCGCGTTATTTATAAATGTGTCGTAACCCTCCACCACCCGACACGGCCAATCAACATTCTGGCGAATTGCCTGATGATGCTGGATGCAATTACCAGCGAAACGTCGTACTCAAAAATTTGTAAATGTTGTGGTTTCACGCTTCAACACACCGGTGGGCTAAAGCAGTGAACTATTTGTCTTTTGTCAACGTGACACTTTTTTGCTGATTGGCCGTGTCGGGTGGTGGAGGGTTACGACACATTTATAAATAACGCGATCTAACCCAAAAACGTTGATTATGGACATTGAATATATTTAAATAATGCTTTGCAGCTAGGCGCTATAATTACGTACAGCGTCCCAGGCTATCCCTAAACTAAAGCCAACGAATGGCTCAACAATAGCCAAACATTCTGTTCGGTCGTACACCATGTTGTCTTCAAGGCCGCCTAGTGGCATCTGAAGACGTGCTGCGTTTATGATATGTTATCACAGTACGGTGCCAGTATATGTTATTTTTTTTGTTACAAGCAACACAATGAATGAGGGTCCTGAGATCGGCGGTACACACGGCAATCAATTATTCACGCGGGCCTGACTGCTGGTCCACTCACTGCAAGCCGAAACTGGCCCACAGTTTGCTCGTCTTGAAGCAAATGCTGCTGGAATTTGCGGACTTCCTCCAAAACGCCGTGCACTCAAAAGAATCAATATTGTGGCCATAGCAGTAGCAGCGGGATAATGAGCTGACAATTTAGTCGTTTCGTCAGCACGGTGTAGCCATCAATGCCGACTTCCACCTTGTAACTCAAGAGTCTCGCGTGAAAAAAAGCCATCTGATCACCGGGGGATCTAGTTTGGCACTGCCCTCTAACGGTGGCATTAAACCAAGCCGAACACTTCTGTGCATCGTGTTAAACTTACCAGTCAGAATAGTGAGCGGCAGTCTGTGTTTAAACGTGGCATGGATGCCACAGTGTTTGTGCGCAGTCTGAAAGTGTTTTTTTTTAATAACGAACACAGATGGCGCGGTTAGAAATGGGGAAGGGCTTTAACGACACGGGAAAACGAAACAAGGAACTAAAAGTACATGCATCTGTTTCCGCTCGAAATGCAGATACGAGAGCGCTTCAGATCAGTGGCACCACATTTATTGTTGAGATAAAGTGGCTGTGAAAAATGAAACAATGTTATGCAATGATGACGTCAGCCTGCTGCTGCTCTATTTAAGACCGGGAGCAAGAGCAGAGCCCCTCACCATTCTGGCGAATTGCCCGATGATGCTGGATGGAATTACCAGCGAAACGTCGTACTCAAAAATTGTAAATGTTGTGGATTCACTCTTCAACACACCGGTGGGCTAAAGTAGTGAACTATTTGTCTTTTGTCAACGTGACACTTTTTTGCTGATTGGCCGTGTCGGGTGGTGGAGGGTAACGACACATTTATAAATAACGCGATCTAACCCAAAAACGTTTATTATGAATAATATTCTTGGTTCTTTCGGTAAAGTCACGTAGAATGGAAATAATAAAATAATTCTACGTGACTTTACCGAAAGAACTAAGAAGATGAATCCCTGCAGTCACGAAAGCTTCAAATCGAAATATGAATAATATTGGTCGCGAAAGCCTACGTGTTGAAATGTTATGCAATGTTTACACTGAGCAGGCCTGCATGAGGCCTCCATCAGCCATGTGGTCCGAATGAATGACAAAGCCACTCAAGGGAGTCCGCTAGCCGCCACCTACTGGCCAAAATTGATGACTGCCCGTGTACACACGCGCACAATTGAAACCGATAACCAAAACAGCGAGATATAATTACACTTGCCCCAAAAGTAAAAACATTTTGGGAGGTGCCCATTTCCACTGTGCCAAGGAACAATAGTTTATATTAATTTACGGTTCGTAATATCGCAACACACTCGCCGATGTCATTGTGTCCAACATTTCACACGAGGTGTCTCCCACTCCACTTCTCCCGATCTCTCTCCAAATTCCTATGTTACTGGTAGGAACCTCCTGGTTACACCAGCCCACAGGGGATTATTGTGTCCGTCGTGCAGGGAGGGGCTGGGTGAGGGGCTGCGTGGGGAGGGGAGGGGCTGGGTAGGGAGGGGCTGGGTGGAGAGGGTGGGGAGGGTGGGGAGGGGCTGGGTGGGGAGGGGCTGGGTAGGGGAGGGTGGGGAGGGGCTGGGTGGGGAGGGGCTGGTCACCCCGTGGTGCCCTTGTAAAACTCAACGTTTAACCTACTCACGCCGGCTTGTGCCCGCCCTCACAGTCGGCATATTTGCGGAATACACCACGCCGCCGTTGACCCTGGCCATTGACCGAGCAACTCAACGTTCCTACCAGCTCCCTCCGCAGGAATGTGTTTATCCAGTGCGTGGGATAGTCCCCGTGTATCAATGTTCATGACAACCCCCTACCCCAACTACATGAAAGAGAGGGAAATGAAAACAAATGAAATCCACAAGCCGATTCCAGGGCGCAGTAGTTAGTTTGGAGTGCAGGACCACACTGGGACAGTGAAAACCTAAATGAAATAAACATTTCATAATTAAATGAAGTCACAATTGTAATTTAAAATTATTCATGCTGATTGAACAGAAATAAGACTACGCCGAACATTTTGGGACTTTCTGAGGGGATTTTATTGTTTTTATATTTAGTAATGAGGTACGTTATTTGTTTTTTGTTAAGTGGAAATATTTGAGTAATGTGCTTTCTGCGTAAAAATAAAAAATCTGATAAAAGTATTTTTTTTATTTGAAATGTCATCCTAAGCACACACACACACACATCAAGATAAAAAAATTTCCCTGCATAGCCTTCAACTGTTGGGTCGAATATTGTGAGCGAGCACCTATGAATGCGAAGAGGGGTGGGTGGCCAGCACCACGCCCGGCCGCCTTTGTCTCCCTAGTGACGCACCAGGTATTCATTTAAGGATCAGCCGGTTCAGATCATGACCGCTGGTGTTAGTTGTGATTTGGACTCGCCGGGTTTGTAGCACAGACAGACATTTGGACGCGGGACATTTGAGCGATTCATGATGCCGTTACAAAATAAATGACGAAAATGTAAGCGGTGTTTTTCAAACGTTTATTAACTTTGCACGTGTCATTAAATGACTGTACGGTCAAGTAAAATATTCACCAATAATTTTCCGATTATCCAATCCCATTGACATATAATTTTTTTTATCTTTAGACGTACAAATTTCCGTAAAAAATAAAATAATCGATGCACACAAATCGTAACGTTCCGATGTTTAGTGTGATAGGTGAACAAAACACACACACACATATTCCAAAAACACCAATTTACATATGTAAAATATAGCGGTTTATTATTAATATTATTCTTATCCTTCAAATCTTTACAAAAAACCTACTTTTTTGTACAACAAAATTACAGAGATAGCGTCATAAACACCTCTGGGGGTCAGAAAGGTTAAAGAGGTTGCCCGCGTCTTGCTAAGCTTTTACATTCGACTGAAAAGCAACGAGCGTGGCCACAATCAGCCCACCTGGTTTCAAGTAAATCCAGACAGCGCGTCACAGTCTAAAGACCCGACCTGGGATCCTATGGGTACGACCGCCACGGCCTCTCTCTCTCTATCTCTCTGCCCTCCTCCCTGCCCGGTCCGCGTTGTCGACCGACGACTCCAACTCGACCTCGATGCGCGGGTCGCCAGCGTTTTTTTTTATTACCACCAGATAACTCCCGCTGTGCTCCGTAGCTCATTTTTTCAGAAGCGTCCTGACTGCCGAAAATCGATACGTCCAACGAAGTGGTTTTTCGTCACGTGGGGAATTTATTGCTATGGAAATGTGGAGGGGGGTGGGGGGGAGGATAACCGGAGGATCCGGAGAAAAATCCACATTGGCCACGGGGAGAGAGACACTGCAAACTCTAAATATACAGCAGACGTCAGGGTCAGGATCGAACCCACGACCTCCTGCATACCAGGCGAGGTAGTTAACATCTCGCCACCGTGGCGGCCTGGGCAAGGACCCTCTATGAGTTCATTGCTCCACCAATTGTTTGTACCCTTACCTGTGTAGTTCACGATAGTTCAATGCTAATGTGCCATTCTTTCGAGAGGCTACTGTGTGGTGTCATTTTGGTGTGGGGATCTTGGAATGTTTCCTTGCTATTTTTGCTTCCTTGCCCAATCTTGATAAAATCGTACTTATATAACGAATGTATTTATTTTACATTTTCAAATTTAGTGACTTGCTTACCATTTTCCCTATTTCGCACTCGTATGGTATTTTTTTATTGTTTGCTGTTGTAACTTCACGACCAATGCTGAACATGTGAGAAAAGAGCTTCATAGCTCATCGGATTCCTTCTCCAGTCGAAAATAAATATTCCAAATCGTATTATCGCTTCGATTCAATCGACAGAAACGCGACAATAGTTGGGGGACGTGGTAATAACAATACAAAACATTGTCTCACCTTCTGGTTTACACGTGCGAACCTTATGGCGGAACCCCGAGGCTCCCGAAAAAACGTAAGTCAAAATCGAAAATAATTATTTTAATTTTTGGCGACTCCGTCCCACCACGCACATAAACGCCGCGACCCGCCTGGCGCGGATCATTCTGTTGCCGTGTCATCCGAACGCAGCAGCGAGGACGAATGCGCAGAAGAGCTGAACAAGCGAATGCACTCCATGCTCGGGTATGGGCAGGATCATAAGTCTTATCCAAAGCTGCTCAAACTGCCGACACGACTTAAATCCTTTATTTGTCATAACGGAATGCATAATACAGTGAAACTCCTCTCTTATCTTCATTATTATTTGTGACCTACCAATGTCTGCAGCCAGGATCAATCGTTGACAATCCTATTACCTGCAGATATTCAACAGATGAGATGCGTCGCACCGTTAATTCCTCCTGTTTGATAACAATACTCTTGTCCGTATACATCTGTGCAGATAGGTTTTTTTTGCGGTTAAGCCGTAGTCCCCACATACCGCTCGTATCAATGCGGATAAGAGGAGCGGTGACCCACTACTCTGTAGAGTAACATTGGTATAAACGCGTGTTAGAATATGAACAGCGCATTGAAAACGCGTACTATTTTATGTACTGATTACAAAGTGTGTTCACGAATCCACACTGAGAAACACGATGATTGACAGTGGGGTGTAACAAAAAAAATTCGATAGTGTATTTAAATAGAGGTACTGCAGGTAAGTAGTTTTCAGTTTTAAAGGCATAGTTTAACAAGACAACACTTGCTACCATCCTTCAAACCCATTGGTGAAAAATAGCAAAGTTTTAGTTTACATTATAATATGTTTATGCGAGAACCGGGGGCTTATGGGACCCCGGGGTCCCTCCATAAGGTTCATGTGCCGCTGGACGGGAGGTGAAGGGCTTGGGGGAGGCACACTCAGATAGTGCCATGGTTCAAACCATAACCCTAACATGTGTTATAATCGTAGGTAGAAATAAAATAAAACAAATCACGACGTTTCGAACGCAACACAAGCACCCGTCTTCAGGTGAAAATCGCGACAGCTGCGATGTCTGATGAAACGTCGTGATTTATTTTATTTTATTTCTACCCACGTGACTTTACCGAAAGAACCAAAGAGTATAGATTCCTGCAGTCACGAAAGCTTCAAATCAAGAATGAGTTATAATCCTACGTTTTGATATCTCATTGATTCAACATGTTTTGGCAGCCCATATTTAGACACACACACACGTTTTTTAATCAGCATGAACTAATTTCTAGATGCCTAGGGCCCTGTAGAATGGGTAAAATTTTTACCAGTTAATATTAAGCGTCTAGTTTTCCCAGAAAAGTTTCACTGGGTCTCAAGACTCTTTTTCATTTTTCTTTACAATGTTTAATTCTACAAAATAAGGCCCAGTCTCAGATAGTGCCATGGATTAAACCATAACCCTAACATGAGTTATAATCCTACGTCCTGACATCTCATTGATTCAACATCTTTTGGCTGCCCATATTTAAAAACACGTGTTTTAATAAGCATCAACTAATTTCTAAATGCCTAGGGCCCTGCAGAATGGACATTTTAAAACTTGTTATTATTAAGCATCTAGCTTACCAAGCAAAGCTTCACTGGGTCTCAAGACTCAGTTTTGTTTATTTACTATTTCTTGTTCTAGTAGGCCCACTGAGCTATGTAGTAGCTCTTTTTCAGAAGCGACTTAGCCACAAATGATAGCTCAACGAAGTGGCTCATCATGTAGACATGTATAGCAGCCAAATCATCAAAAACGCGCATCGATTCTAAATGTGGAGGGAAAAACCGGAGGACCCCAAAGAAAAACCCACACGACCCCGGGGAGAGAGACACGCAAACTCCAAATATACAGCAGACGTCAGGGTCGGGATCGCACCCAAGACCTCCTTCTCGCCACCACTTGGTCCTCAGGAAGGTCCTGCCAGGTGTTTGCAGTCAGGGGCGATGTACCTATGTGTAATCCCAATTGAGTGATTTACAGGTCATTTTCTGACACTGGGATGTGTTGACCGGCACCGGTTACATTGTCTGTGATTTTCTTTGTAGCTATGGAAAGGGGGAAACCCGAGGCCCCGGAGGGAAACCCATGCAGAACAGGGGAGGAGAGAACCATCGAACCCAGGCGGTTCTTGCTGTGAGACACGAGCGTTAAACACTGCGCCACCCTGCCGCGCTAAATATATATATAAAAATCTCTTTTAAATATAAAACAGTAAAAACTCATCTTAAGACGGGCAAAATTTTTGTTGTCAAAAACACAGCAGGCGAACAAATCGGGGGCGAGCGCGCGAGTGCAGCGTGTTCCCTGATTGCCGTGTCGTCGGTTTTCGGAATCCTTCGCGGCGGGAGGGCACGGCGAGAGCACACCCCTCCCCCAAACTCTGCTCGGTGAGGTGGGGGGGGAGCACGCGGCCGCACACTGCCTTGCCAGGAGCAGATCCACGCAGCGGCGGTTGCCGCCACCGCCACCGCCACCTTGCTGGTAGAGAAACACTTTGCGCGTCTCGGGGTGGAGGCGCTAAGCGGCCGCGTGGTGTCGGCGTCCCTTGAGAGCGACGAGTGGAACCGCCGCTGTCAAGGTGGGGCGGCCGGCCGTGAGTTTTTTTTTTTTTTGCCGCGCGGGGCCTCGCATCTGGCCGAAACTTGCACAACTTCTGCCGGTATTCGGCAGGAGTTGCCCTCTGTCCGCCCGGTCGATCGTCGCCTGCCCACCTCGCGCGAGCGAGCGGACGAGCGTCATGTGCCGGCGAGGTGCGTCAGGTCCACAATGGCTTCTCCCTCCTTCAGCTTCCTGAGGAATGTCCGCTCGATAGTGATGTTGTGGTAGGTAGACTTTGGGAAGCAGAATCGCACGGGGGAGGCGGGTGGGGGAGATGGGACAGGTTGCGGAGAGGGAGCAGGAGGAGGATGTGTGAATAAATAATGGTTCTCGGGGTGAGATTCCAATTTCTAACGTCACTGAAGGTCACTGATGTGCAGGTGCATGAATGTACGTTGAGCTTTTTTCGCACCGTACGTAGCCAACTGTGCTAATCGGAGGTCCAGAGGTGACCACGTGTTAACGCTTTACAACTAGGGTTGAGAGCGTTCGTGCAGGAGTTTAGTTCGTCCGTCTGGCTCTTCGCCCAACGGGTCTCGCATGCAAAGCAAAAATCCAGTGTGCGTGCATGCTCAGACGCGAGCACATGGACATCACTCCCAACAACAATGATGCAAGAAAACAATAACCTTCACAACCGGTGCATTTGACACAACTGTGTAAATGCTCGAGGGCTCCGACTTATCAAAGGCAGTGGGAGAATCTTCCCGAGCTGTGCCCGCAAGCTGCCTTGTGTCCCTACCGCTCGGCTATCCGAATATCCCTACGTCTGCCGTGTGGGCGCGTGGCACCTTGATGATGGAGGACATGGTGTCCTGGCCGTAGTAGTGCACGGGGCTGCCGGGGGAGTTGACGTTGTACCCGAACCCGGCGAGGTGCACCTCGTCGCAGAGGTGCAGCGCCAGCGTGATGGCGATCACGCCCGTCGTGGGGTTCTTCGCCTGCGACCAAGCATGCGCACAGCCGCGCGCCGGCGAGAGCGAGCAGATGTCAACACCGGAGGAAGAAATAGAACCAGGGGAACGCGCGCGTCGATTCCGTAACGACTTCGCCTTCAACAAAAGCGCCGTGATTTTCCGTTTGTTGTGAGAACGCGCGCGAGCGAGGTTGGGACATCACTCAAGCCCGTCGGGAAAAAAAGTTAGCGGGGCCTGGTCTGGGACACGCCATGGCCTGGAAGGGATGAAGGAACGCGAGTACGTACGTACGTACGTGGGATTTCTTTCGCACCGTACGTAGCCGACCGTGCTAATCGGAGGTGAAGAACGACTTAAAGGGTCGTTGCCAAGGAGCGGAACTTCGTCCGAGAGGGTGAAGTACCGCCGTGGGAGATGGAGCGATGAAATCAGCTCACGGAGCTGGCGCTCGGCGGACTGCGCAGGGCAGCGCAGCCGTGTTCCCGGGACCGTAACGCTTCAACTACAAACCTTGCCCGACTTGGTGTCCGACGAGATGTTGAGGAAGTCCGTGGCGGCCTCCCTCACGAAGGCCGGGTTGAGGATCCGGATCCGGCTCGCAGGGAATTGCAGCTCCGTAGGCACCCTCTTCCAGAAGCCCCGCGGGCCCTGGGGTACAGGGGGGGGCGGTGGTGGTGGTGGTAGAAAACGACAAAGGTCCCCCGTGTAGCCTTTGGCGAGCAGTCGGGGCGAGGGGCTGCTCGCGAGCGCTTCAGCGAGGTCGGCACGGCACACGCGGAGGTCCGGTGGGTGGCCGGTGCCGGACGGCCGGGCGCCACTTTTTAGACGGGACGTGCGACAGCATCTCATTCGGCGTTCTTAGAAACGGCTACAATAGCCGGGCGGCCAGGCGGCCGGGGAAAATAGTCCCAGCCACCACCACCACCTTCGAACCACAATACCTCGCTGATCTCGTCGAGGGACATAGACCATAATGCCAACTTCGGTCATCCTCACAGCAGCGACTTTTGGCTCAGCCATCGAACAAAGACGGTCACCTGCATCGCGTGGCGCTTTCAGACGCGCTTCTGCGGCTGTCTGGGCGGCTCTTTTGATATTAGGAAGCCACTGGAGCCATGCACTTTTAAATCATCTAAATTGAAAACTAAATTCTGTTTGTTTTTAGTTTGTTGTCTGTTCTGCCTCACGACAGGTGTGGGGGTGAGTGTACACAGGAATTTTCTGTTTTGATGTTGAGTTTGGTCACGTGACCAGGAAGTTACGATTTAAGATTTTCTCAGGCACGCGGCAGGGTGTCAGCCATTACCCAGTGTACAAAATGGCGGCACAAACAGCGTCTCAGTGAAGACAGGTGCATCTGTTCATTGTGGGATTTTATAAGAAGCATTGTCTGTAAGTTAGTTTATGTTCTGATACTACTGGGGATGCTGTTATAATGTTAGCATGGCCGTTATAATGCTTTAAATGCCTTTATAATTCTGTTAAGTTATGATAAATATGAGGCCGAGTAAACAATGAAGCCTGCCACTTGCCTTATTGTGAATGTTACTTGCAATTGAATAAGTCGAGTCAAACTTGTACCCATGTAACCTTATTGCGATCTTGAGAGCAAGGATGACGAAATATATCATCCACAGTTCAGTGTTATGTGCAGTGCTGTACATTTAGGCTGCAGTGTGATGATTACACGATGTGCCCTTATTTAACACAGTAGCTTATTCTCTTGTATAACTATTCAGTACTAATGTAGGTGCCTGATCCATCCAGGATCTATTGTTGAGTTTCATGTTATCTAAGACAATGGTATGATGCTGTAGTGTTCATTCATTGTATTGATATTTCCAAGTATTAATAGATGCTGTATTTGTGCTGTCTTTTTCCATCAGTTTTACCTCGTTCAATTCATTAAATACGTTTGGAGTCGGATGTTCACCCTGGCTCTGAAGGTTTATTGAATGCGAGGTTATCTACTCGGATAGTGGTGCAACGCAGCGCACAGCGAGGCCGAGACATTGTCCTTAAATACATAAATACATCGCCACGATCACCACGATTACCACCATCCTATACCATCACCATCATGATTACTGGACATCTGTGAAAAAGAGCTTCATAGCTAGTCGGATTCCAGTATCTACCATTACCACCACCACAGTCACCACGACCAGCGTCACGACCATCACCACCAACACCATCACCACCAACACCACCACCGTCACCAACACCACCAACACCACCACCATCAACACCACCACCACCGTCACCACCACCATCACCACCACCACCACCACCAACACCACCGTCACCATCATCACCACCAACACCACCACCATCACCACCAACACCACCGTCACCACCACGGTCACCACCACTACCGTCACCACCACCATCACCACCGTCACCATCATCACCAACATCACCACCACCACCGTCACCACCAACACCACCGTCATCATCAACACCACCACCGTCACCACCACCACCAACACCATCACCGTCACCACCACCACCACCACCGTCACCACCACCACCACCGCCGCCACCGAGCGCCGCAACAACTCCGCACCACGCGGTGGTGGTTGAGCACGCCAAGCAGCCACTGGAGGTCGCGCGTCTTGAAGGGCACGAAGACGAGCAGCGTGCTGGCGTCAAAGTCCTCGCGCCGCACGTGCGCCGACTCCGGGTAGCAGAGGCGCATCGTCGTCCGGCTGCCCACGTCCCCCACGTGACCACGCAGAGGAGCGTCGTTCATGCTGCCGCGTCCCGACAGAGGGGGCACATTGCGCGCTCGTTACAATGGATTGTTGTTGGTGTTTGTTGGTTGTTGTTGTTGTTGTTTCGGGGGGTTGCCCGCCTTTGGGAGGTGGGATGTTCGGAGGGGGGTGGGTGGCAACGTTTTTAAAGGGGATAGAAAAAAAACGGCCGCGGGAAAAGGAGGCGATTGGGATACTCGGGGCGATTATTTACGTAATCGGCAAATCAGCTCGAGTTGCACCGATAGCCTGAGATGTCTTCACATTGTTAAACTTGTCCAGACGAGGTCCCGCCAAACTTCCCACCGGAGATGCCAAACCCAGACACACTTCTCAGTCAGCACTGTGCAGTGAGTTGTTGTAAGTAGATGAAGTTCAACACGGCAATACCTGAACCAGATCTCGTTTACAAACCAATTCCAGCTACCGCTCGAACAGAGGTGGCACCGATTCCCCGGATTGTAGCGGGTGCCAACCCTCGTGTGCGAGTAAATGAGTAGGTGGGAGAGTGAGTGGGTGGATGGGTGAATGAATAAGTGAGTTTATGAGTGAGTGGGTGGCTGGATGTGCGGTTGAGCAAGCAAGTGAGTGAGTGGTAGGATTGCCACCTTTCCACAGTACACCGAACCAACAATAGGGTCTATTATCATCAAAGTTATGCAGCAGCAACCCACAATGAAGTTCAACACAATAATACAGTAGTCAGCTGGGGGAGGAGCGGTGGGAATTTCCAGGACAGTCACGGAAGGAAAGTTGACAATGGCCTAAAAGGGCAATTGTCAACTTTTAACAGTGGCAATTGTTAATCTCTCAGCTCTGTCCCTCCCCACCTATGGCAATACGAGGGCAAGGGGGGAGGTCGGGGGGGGGGGGTGAGGTCGGGGGGGATAAGGTATGGGGGTGAGGTAGGGGGGTGAGGTGGGGGGGGCTTTTTTGGGGGAGGGTGGCGTAGCTTGTCGAGAGAGCAGGTGGGGCGACTGCATAGGGCGCCACGGTGGCTAGGAGATGTTAGCTACCTCGCCTGGTATGCAGGAGGTCGTGGTTTCGATCCTTAACCCTGACGCCTGCTGTTTATTTGAAGTTTGCGTGTTCTCCCCGTGGTCGCGTGGATTTTTCTGCGGGGCCTCCGGTTTTTCCCTCCACAACACGCGTTTTGCTGCTATAAATGTCCACGCGATAAGCCACTTCGTTGAGCTATCATTTGTGATAGCCAGGTCGTTTCTGAAACAAAGAGCTATGTAGCTCAATGGACATTGCCTGGTAAATTGTTTTTTGTTAAATATGAATAGTTTAACTCGGGACACTTCCTGCAAACGATGAGCATCTCACAGGGAGAGAGCTCTAGACGGCAATTAGCTTGCAATTGTGACCAAATGAATCGGCGCTTCCTGTATCCCTTGCTCGTCAAGCAACAATCACCGCACGAGGTACGGTTAGGGTTGCCAACTCTCACCGAAGATTTTTTGTTCAAAATAATTTAATACATTTTACTGGTAGGAACCCACCTGGTTTCACCAGCCCACAGGGGATTACTGTGTCCGTCCGTCGTGCATTCAAAAATGGGAGGGGTGGGGCTGGGTGGAGAGGGGAGGGTGGGGAGGGGCTGGGTGGGGAGGGTGGGGAGGGGCTGGGTGCGGAGGGATGAGTGGGGAGGGGCTGGGTGGGGAGGGTGGGGCTGGGTGGGGGTGGGAGGGGTGGGGCTGGGTGGGGAGGAGCTGGTCACCCCGTGGTGCTCTTATAAAACTCAACGTTTAACCTACTCACGCCGGCTTGTGCCCGCCCTCACAGTCGGCCATATTTGCGGAATACACCACGCCGCCGTTGACCCTGCAGGCCATTGACCGAGCAACCCAACGTTCCTACCAGCTCCCTCCGCAGGAGGAATGTGTTCTTTAAACGAGCTCTATTTTTCAACAGCCCCTACAGCTCAGCAGCCCTTACCTGGCTAAAACAAAAAAATATATAAATATAATTTAGTTTAAAAGGGGGCCTTCGCGGCAGGCACTGTGACGGGTGGGTGGCGGGAGCAGTGGCGCAACGGTTAGCGTGCTCACCGCAGGACGACGTCGTACGAGTCGATCCTCTCGCCCAGGCCGCTGCCCTTGAGGACTCGTCCGTTGCCCACGACGACGCAGCGCTTGCACGCCAAGCTGCGGCGCACAACGCAAAGATTTCACTCCCCCCACCTCCTTCACCACCACCCGTACGGGGCCGTCCATAAATGACGTCACGCGATTTTGAACGATTTTTTAACCCCCACCCCACCCCACCCTCGTCGCACGGCGTCACAAAAAGTCAGACCCTCCCCCCCCTCAAATATGACGTCACAAAGCTCTGCCCCCCACCCCCCCCAAAAAAAACACGTTTCAAATCGCTTTGAACTATTGTCATTGTAGTGCGTATTTAATGTGGCGCTGCATTCTGATGTTGTACGAGAAAACATTTATTAAAAAGTCTATTTAATTAAGTAGAACGTGTTGTCTATATTGATTTAAAGTTGCGCATTTTGATGTGACGTCACATTTATCAACCCCCCGCCCCCTCGTCACACATCGTCACAAATGTCTGACCCCCCTCCACCCCTAGGTCTGTGACGTCATTTATGGACGGCCCCTAATCACACCTGGCCGCCTTTGTCTTCCCAGTGCTGATGTTTTTAAATTTTTAAATGATTTATACATTTTTTACCACCGCACCAGGTACTCATTTGAGGCTGAGTCGACCTAGGCCCGGTGCAAGTAACCGTGCTAGTGGCACGCTAACGGCGGACGAACTTGTTGAGCCTCCCAGAAATGTGGTGGTTCGATTTAGCTGTAAACAAGCTCGCGTGATCAACTCTTAACCCCCAGGGCTCTAGGTAGCAGCCGGGCTCTCACAGATCTGTTCCAGTAAGAACAAAAGGAAATAGAAACCCCTCGAATTCCGTGACGCGTGCCAGGTGACTCACTTGGATAGTTCCCGCGGCGTCGTTATGTTGACCATCAACTTTAAAATCCACCGGATGGTCAGAGCATCTGGAATAAATAACAACCACGCAGAAGGAAACGAAAAAATGTACGCGCACGCCATGGATTCCGCAACGCTTCACACACGCACGTGGATTCTGCGACAATTCACGCACGCACGTGGATTCTGCGACGCTTCACACGTGCGCCACTTGCGCTAGGAAGGGTTTCGGTCATCGTCGTAACGAGATGATGACACACGTTGACGATTTCTCCACCGTGGCCGGTAAGGGGAGAAGCCTTTTGGCACTGGTTCTATCACCGAGTTTTAGGCCAGGTTTTGATCAATTTGGCAGGTTTTTCAACATGGCAAGTCCCTACTAATGGACACATTTAAATGTGATAACGACTTATTTACAAGAGGAACACAAACACAGAGTCTAAAGACTATCCTTGAGGCTCTTACTGCATCAGCATATTTGGTTATATCGTATGGTTTATACATATATATTTATCTATGGGAGGAAAACTGAGAACACGGAGAAAAGCCCATGCAGAACAGTGGGAGAACATACCAAACACCACAGAGAAAGGCACTCCGAATCTAGACTCGTACCCAGGCCCGATTTGTCGCGATGCGCAGACGCATCAACCACTGCGCTGCCACGCTGCATCACTCCACACGCCTACCACAATCTGTGTCACGCACGGTGTGTGCACGTATGTCTAACTTCTTTTGCACCTTACATAGCCAACCGTGCTAATTGGAGGTGGTCACCCATCCAAGCCAGCACCGCCCGGGCTTGTCACCCGCCGAGCTTAGAGATCAGGTGGAGTCCCGGCTCATTAAGTCACAGGCACGACGGTAATTCCCCCAACTTCGTAATCGGATTCCACTATGGTGCAACACGGGAACCCATGGGGAGGCCATGGGATGAACGGTGATGTCATCGCAAGTTTCTAATCCCAGGATCCACGGAAGGTCTGGATGCTTGCCTGCAGGAACCGATGTAAATCGGTACGGGGTGGTGTTCGGTTTATGACGATCAGCATCTACGAACGCGCATGTCAAACAAAATATGCCACCGCGGGATCGTTTTACGGCGGCGCAGAAGCTTCTTGTGTGGATGTTTACCCAAGATGAGCTACATCGGCAAATGTTGATTTGTTCTCGACTGTGGGAGAATAGGGCGCGTACTCTTAGTTCTTTCGGTAAAGTCACGTAGGTAAAAATGAAATTTAAATTAATAAAAATAAAACAATAAAAATCACGACGTTTCGGAGGCAACACAAGCTTCCGTCTTCACTTTACCGAAAGAACTAAGAGTATGAATCCTTGCAGTCACGAAAGCTTCAAATCTAGAAAGAATAGGGCGCGGTTTGCGTCGATTCAATTTACCGCGGGGGGTTTCCAGGAATGCACATTGTGTGTGCCTGGTTAAAAAACAAAACACGCAGGTTAGTTTAGTTCTCATCTGGTTACACGACACAAACTAGAAACTGTGAACGTCCGTCGGTATTTTGGGCCAACGTTGAAGTGGTGGCTTTCACAACAACTTACGAGTTTGCAAACGAAGTTTCAAAACTCTAAGAAGGGGACCCCCACCCCCACCAACCCAGTCGGACATGATGCAGCACCCTTTGGCGACACGGGACCAAACGTCCACTTTGTGAGACTTGCCAAAGGACATGAAGGCAGATTTTATAAACGAGTGTTTCGGCCGTTCATGGCATATATATGCCTACACACACCCTACATGCAATAGAGTTAGTAGTATCTACTGACTCTATATTTGCCTACACACACCCTACATACAATAGAGTTAGTAGTATCTACTGACTCTATATTTGCCTACACACACCCTACATACAATAGAGTCAGTACTATCTACTGACTCTATATTTGCCTGCACACCCTAAATTGGCCTCGGATGGAACACGTGTGTGTCACGTCGAGCCAATTACGAATCTAAACATTTGAACACAACGCATTTAATCGGACATTCATGACATGAAGCGTCTCTCTCTCTCTCTCTTCTGCTCCCCAGCCAATAGTCAAACAATGATGATGTCCGATCGACTGCAAGGGCAGAAGTTGTGCGATGACTCATGCTGGTGGAGGGAGGTTGGAGCGATGTGAACGCTTTTTTAAATCCTTTATATTAAGTTCGCTTGCTTGCTTAGGACCGTGTAAATCTTTCGGTCGTTCTTTAACCCACTTCCCGTGATCCAATCGAGCTGACATTTTGCACACAGACTCGTTGTGCGTGACAATTTATTTTCGTGAAAAAAATGTTCAAAAATTTTACACTTTTTAGGATTTTTTTTTAATATTTCATTTAAAATACCAATGTGATAAAAATGAAACTCTTACTCAAGACAAACAGAAATGAATAATAAAATAAAACCGATGCCACGCATATAAAGGATTTATAGTGAAAAACTTTGTTTTTACGGGTAAATTTTTTACAAGCTTTCTTTTAACTCACTCTGTTGTTGTTGTATCGTCAAATCTTGTAACTCAATTTTAACCCATTTCCCAATGTGGCATCGACTGCAAACTTGGTATATTCTATCATAAAAAAATATTTTTCTAAATATTATTTTTTGTATGTTATGTTTCGGCTTTGGTTTAATTGTCAACGGTCAACTGACGTTGGCTGTAATTGGCCATGGTCCCTTACGGTATGGAAATCTTCGGGGCCACTTCCTGGAGTCGTGGAGTTCTGCCATTACTAGTACTTTTCATAAAAGCGTGTTTATTTAAGTTTAAAAAAAAATTACTTATTTGCTTTGCAAAGCGCGACGGGCAATCCCAGAGGGATGTTAAGGACGGCACGGACCTCGCGAGCCTCGTTACAAGTCACCAGCCTGATTCGCGTGGACGGCCGTGCCATTTCCTTGATGTGTTTGATTTAATGTGCTGATCTTAAAGGTGCATTGGAAAATGTTGATACTCCGACTGATGCTCCTGCTGTTGTGGAGTGACTCATGCAGCCAGCTATGGCTGCAGAGTTTGGTAGTACATGTTGTTAACATCGTTTATTGTGAAATTTCGGTCACATTTCCTATGATCACTGTTTCATTGCTTTTATGGCTTTATTTTTGTGATTTTCGAAAAGTTTTTTGGTTTGGCCATGTTTGTTTGTTGTAGTACAGAGTTAGACTGATGGCCTTAATCTAAGTTGTCTTGTGGTTGTTGTTTGACTTGCATCCCACTGGGATTTTTGCACACAGTGTTGGTGTACCGTGCTTTTTCTGCAATATTTTGCTGTCTTTTCTTGGATTTTCTGTTTGCACATAGTCACTTTAAGATGTTTTCTTGTTCATGTTTTTGTTTTCTGTTTGTGGCGGTTGCACCCGATTTAAGAGCCGAATGGCTCACAGGGCTATACCTAATAAATTAACTTGAACTTGATGCCCCGACCTTTAGTATTGCCTACAGCGGCATTGCAAAAAAAAAAAAACGTCTTTAAGTTACCCAAAAAATTACAAAACCCTCGACACATTCCTCGATAATGCTGTGACCTGAAAGGTGCACGACGCTTCAGGCAAATGTCCCTTTTCACGTGACGATTGTGCCTAGGGTTTTTCTTGTATTATTTGTCACTGTGCACTACATCAAACGTGCATCACCAGATCTTATATTTAGACGTAAATACAAAGTCAAAACACTGCCTGGCTAAATATAACCACCATTGTGGCTGCACCTTTCGTGTGGTAGAAATTCCACATTCCTTTGACAGGTGCGGGTAGGGTGAGCAGTTCTCTAAGTGACCCCACGCACACACAATCGGCCCCATCGTTGTGTGTGTGTGCGTTCGTGCGATGTTATCTCCCACGCCTGGTACGCAGGAGGTCATGGGTTCGGTCCCGACTCTGACGCCTGCTGCTGTATATTTGGAGTTTGCGTGTCTCTCTCATCATCATCATCATCACGGCGGCTAGGAGATGTTAACTACCTCGCCTGGTATGCAGGAGGTCGTGGGTTCGGTCCCGAGTCTGACGCCTGCTGCTGTATATTTGGAATTTGCGTGTCTCTCTCATCATCATCATCACGGTGGCTAGGAGATGTTATCTCCCCCGCCTGGTATGCAGGAGGTCCTGGGTTCGGTCCCGACTCTGACGCCTGCTGCTGTATATTTGGAATTTGCATGTCTCTCTCATCATCATCATCACGGTGGCTAGGAGATGTTAACTACCTCGCCTGGTGTGCAGGAGGTTGTGGGTTCGATCCTGACCTTAACGCCTGCTGCTGTTTATTTGGAGTTTGCGTGTCTCTCTCTCTCTCTCCCCGTGGTTGCGTGGATTTTCCTCCGGGTCCCCCGGTTCTTTCCCTCCACATTTAGAATCAACGTCACGCGTTCAGAGTATTTCGCTGCTGTAAATCCCCACTCGACAAGCCGCTTCGTTTAGGAGGCGGGCGGCGCGCGCGTTCGTACGACACACGCGGATCATGCGACACACACGGAGCATACAATGCGTGATCGTACGACACGTGCGGATCGTCCGACAACACGCGCAAATCACGCGCTACGGCGACGTGCGGTCGGGTTCCGCCGCACCGGCACTAACCGGCGGGCGCTCACCGCTGGGGCGCATGCGGTACGGCAGCTGCTCAAGGGCGAAGGCGCCGTAGTTGCGTCGGTGAGACCGCGTCGCCTCCGCCTCCACGTCCTGCAGGCCCAGGAAGGGGCTCCCACCCAGCGTGCTCATGTTCAGGCTGCGGGGGCGGTGGGGACAGGGAGGGAGGCAGTGAAGGAATGTTGTCTCCCTCGCCCGGTATGCAGGAGGTCGTGGGTTCGATCCCGACCCTGACGATGCCTGCTGTATAATTGGAGTTTGCGTGTCTGTCTCTCTCTCATCATAATCACGGTGGCTAGGAGATGTTATCTCCCTCGCCCGCTATGCAAGAGGTCGTGGGTTCGATCCCGACCCTGGCGATGCCTGCTCTATAATATAATTGGAGATTGCGTGTCTCTTTTTTTCTATATCTCTCCGTGATCGCGTGGATTTTTCTCCGGGTCCTCCAGTTTTCCCCTCCACGTTTAGAATCAACGTCACCACGCGTGTTCGAGTATTTGGTTGCTGATATAAATGATCGCACACGATGAGCCACTTCGTTGGGTTATCATTTGTGGCCAGGTCGCATCTGACAACAACTCAGTTGGCCTTACCTAGTAAAATAAAAAAAGTGTTTATCTTTTAAAAATAAAAAGACGTAAATAATAAACACACTCCTTCGCTAACTCATGGATGAAATCAAGCAGTACAATAATTAAATACGAACAGGAAGTTCCCGGCTTTTACCCGGGGGAAAAATATATTTATTTTAAACCTTATCTTTTCTTAAAAACATAACATATACAGACACATATACTAAGCTCGAATTGAAGCTTTCGTGACTGCAGGAATTACTCTACTCATTGGTTCTTTCGGTAAAGTCACGTATGTATAAAATAAAATAAATTAAAATAATAATAAATCGCAAATAAAATAAAATTAAAATAAATCACAATAAATCACAAATAAATAAAATAAAAATAACTATTTAAATTTTATTTGTGAATTATTGTGATTTATTTACATTTTATATTATTTGTGCTTCATTTAAATTTTGTTTAATTTCTACATACGTGACTTTACTGAAAGAACCAATGAGTAGAAACTAAGCTATTATAAAAGCCCGGCGTTCCGTTTGTCTGACCATTTGTCCGTCAACACAATTCTAAGAGCCTTACAGAAGGCCTGAATCAAGAAGTTATTGAAACTGGTGGGTAAATAGTTGATCTAAAAGGTTTCCAAAAATTGTCGACCCCCCTCCCCTTCAATAACGTTTTACCCCCCGCCCACCCAATATTTATTTTGTATGCATACACATATCTACACACCCTACATACAATAGAGTAATGTTTTGTTTAGGTGACAAACCTGACTAATTTGCCGTGTGGGAGGTGGCGGGTTTAACGACACGTTTATATTTACACCCCCCAAAAAAGCTTCTATTACGGATAATATTTGGTCGCGAAAGCCTGCTGCTGCTACGCCGTTAGCCGGTCAGGTTTATCTTTCGATGGGCGGCCACATTTGCTGTGGAGGCTTCCTGCAGAGGTCACCCCGGGCAAGAGGGCTGCTTTGCACGGCGGTTGTAGTTTCTGGATTTCGGATGTGACGTGCCACTTCAGGATTATTTTTTCATTTTTCTCCCAAAAGTATTTTATTATTAAAAAGAAGATTCAGTTTCGATTTATATATGACTTTAAACCCCCCGCCAAACCTCCTACGCATTTCACAAGTAGTACTAATCGCATATCTGCATTTCTCATAAATATGCTAAATTCCTCTTGATATGCAAATTATTTTGTCAAGGCGCTCTTCCCCCCCTCCATACCAGCTTAAATAGTCGCTCCAAGCCTGGGGTGTGTCATTCAGACTCTGCCTTCTCGACAGACCTGTTCTCCACCTGAGGACGGCTGCTTGCATTGTGGCCGAAACGTCGTGAGAATTATTGTATTATGTTTTAATTTTATTATTTTAATATTTCCATTTTACGTGACTTTACCGAAAGAACCAAGAAGAAGAAGATTCAGGTAGACAACACCGCAGAGGCTGTGAAAGGGGGGTGGGTGGGGGGGTTGACCACTAGCACAAACACACACATTGAGGATTATAGTGCAATGAAGACCTGCTGTCTTAAACCGCATGTTTCAATACACCGTTTCAATAAACTCGACAAGTCTTTCTAAGCTTTGATGCCACTGTAGGGAAATAATGGAGGTGGGGGGGCAGTGCCTAAATGCCCTCATGAATGTTCTGAAGAATCAATGTCCACTAGAGGGGAGGGAGTGAAGGGGTTAAATGTTGCTGGTCAGCTTCCTCCATGCACCTTAGTTTGGCATTTTAGATGCTCTAGATTTGTTTTTTTATCATTTGCAGTAAATGCTTTGCTGCCATCTCCTGGCTGACAAGTGGCGGTGACTTGTGGGCAAGATCTTCTTGGTTCTTTCGGTAAAGTCACGTAGAATGGAAGCAATAAAATAATAAAAATTAAAACATAATAAAATAATTTATTATGTTCTATTTTTATTTTTATTATTTTATTGTTTCCATTCTACGTGACTTTACCGAAAGAACCAAGAAGATGAATCCCTGCAGTCACGAAAGCTTTAAATCGAAATTGTGGGCAAGACTTTTTTTTTCGAGTGTTGGGTTTATCTGAAATATTTAACTGTTAAAGTATTTGAATTTTATTTTACCGGGTAAGGCCCGCCGAGCTGTATAGCTCCTTTTTTCAGAAGCGACCTGCCCACCGCACATGACAGCTGCACGAAGTGACGGCTCATCATCACGTGGGAATGCATAGCAGCCAAACCACTCTCAACTCGTGATGTTGATTCTAAAATGTGGCGGGAGAAAACCGGAGGACCCCGAGAAAAATCCACAATGAGAGAGAGAGAGAGACGCACAAACTCCAAATTTACAACAGGCGTCAGGGTTGGAATCGAACCCACGGTCTCCTGTGTACCACGCGAGTTAGTTAACATCTCGTCACCGCGATGCCCTTTATCTGAATTGTTACACGGATGATGATGATGATGATGGTCCCGTGTAGCCAGTTGCCCGGCTATTTTACACGGGAGATCCGTGGTGGTGCGTGAGACACAGCAGCGACAACAACAATAACGAAAAAAAAACTCATCTTACAAACTCAGCGTAGCAAAAGAGAGAGGGTGAAACTGGACTGTGTGCTATGTGGGCAGTGGAGCAAACGCACAAGGAACAAAACACTCAACACATTGGTCAGTGACACTGCCGTTAAACAGGATGACAGCTGTACGATAGGCAACGTTCCAGGCAATGGCCCTCATTCATCGCTCCTCATATGAAGTTCGAATGTTTTGACGGTCACGAGGTGGCTCATGGTTCTAACGTCATGCGCATGATTAGCACAGGGCCCGGTATTAGGAAGCCACTGGAGCTATGCACCTCCAATTAGCACGGTTGGCTACGTACGGTGCTAAAGAAGTTCAACATACCAGTGACGTGCGTTGAGGTCAATGGCTGGGAAGGCACTGGCTAGTGGCAGAGCCAGATTCACACACTGAGGGGGGCGTGACCTCACGGAGGGGGCGTGTTCTCACTGAGGGGGGCGTGTTAGACACGCCCCCCTCATATTCTTAGGTTTTTTCGGTAAAGTCACGTAGGTAAAAAATAAAAAATAATAAAAGTAAAATTAAAACAAACAAATAAATAAAAATCACGACGTCCCCCTCAGTGAGGCAGATGTGATAGCTGCCTCCCCTGGTGCTTTTTCATTGCAGTTTCATGACGAGACCAGCGAGCCTAAATATCTTTATACACGTACGTGAAATAAGTTACTTGGAGTATGGAAGGCGAGGACATGAAATGAAGGGGTCTACAAACATTACATTGGTGACATACTGAGATAGTAACGGGCACGCGCTTATTGCCCGCGCTCCATCCAGTTACTGAGGGGTTGCGCAATCAGAGGGGAGGCTGAGATCGTCGCTGCCTCACCTCTCGTCTCTTCCTGTATTTGCAGCGGAGCTCCGCAAATTTGGCGATTTTGACTATAAAAATGATTGGAATCGTACAGAAATTACATTTATAACACAGATCAGTGAAAAAAGCTTAATATTTATTTCATTTGATTATTCTTATTTTTTTACTTTTCGTAGCAGCTGCCTCCCCTGACCGCACGTCCCTGCAACATACGTACATACATGAGCACGGTAGACTACGTACGGCGCTAAAGCAGTTCAACACACATTAACCGGGGCGGCCTCTAGGCTCGAACCGCAGACTCCCAAGCACCAACGAGCGGGGGGGGGGGGGGTCACCGCTCCAGGCAAGGGGTGAGCGCGACATCACGAGCGGGCGCGTCACCGGACAACTCACTGTGGGTAGAGTCCCTGGAGCCTGCAGGCGCACGTGCGAGGGACGACACGTCCTGGGGCTGACCGTGGGGGCCTCCGTCGTGCGCCTGTGGGCAGGGGGAAGTCGTGGGACGTCATCGGACAGGCATCGAACCCCGGGGTCCCCGCTCAGGGCCAACACCGGGGACGGTGATTTGAACTGGCCCTGGGCTCCTCCCCTAGGTCGACTCAGCCTCAAATGAGTACGTGGCGCGGGTGCGTGGTAAACATCGCCGCTGGGTGAGACAAAGGCGGCCGGGCGTGGTCGCTGGCCACCTGCCCGCTCGTGTGCCGTGCCGGCCTTCATAGGTGCTCGCTAACAGCACTTGGCCCAACAGTCTGTTACAGGCTATATGGGGGATCTTTGTCTTACATCCTGTAACGAAATCACCTTTGGAACGAATCCATCCGATCCCACCAGATCTCGGAACCTAAGCAGGGATTTCATTTTTTGTTAATTATTATTGAGCTCCTATAGCCGGGAGGGTCCTGCCAAATATTTTATTGCAGTAGGCGGTGGGTCAATGTTTGCTTTGTAAATTCACCAAATTGAGTCATTTTTTTCCGGGTAATATTTAAAACTTGGCAGAAAAAAAAGTATACCGCGACCAAGGCACGCAGTGTCCTACTCTTGCGAATTACGCCAATGGGATCTTTAACGTCCACTCGCGCTCTGTTCGCAACGCGGTATTCATCAGGGCGGCCGCTGGTATCGAACCGCGAAGCGAAGCTCACTGCAACGGCGTTATCGCTGGGCCACGTCGCGCACTGAGCCTGGATGGATGGGCGATCACCAGCAGAGGGCAGTGCAACATTGACCAGCGCGGTCCAGATGTCTTGTGACCTCCCCCCACCGCCCTGATTAATTGACCCAGAACATGTTTTTGTTTTTCCAGTTAGTATATTCAGTTCTGTTTTGAATACATTTTTATTTAAAGTTATATATGTATTACAATTTAAAGAATTAAATGGAGGTCACAAGATATCTGTACAGGGCAGTGGTGTAGTAGTGACTACATTATCAGTGGGGTAGTGACTACATTATCAGTGGCGTAGTGACTACATTATCAGTGGTGTAGTAACTACATTATCAGTGGCATAGTAACTACATTATCAGTGGCGTAGTAACTACATTATCAGTGGCGTAATAACTACATTATCAGTGGCGTAGTAACTACATTATCAGTGGCGTAGTAACTACATTATTAGTGACGTAGTGACTACATTATCAGTGGCGTAGTAACTACATTATCAGTGGCGTAGTAACTACATTATCAGTGGTGTAGTAACTACATTATCAGTGGCGTAGTAACTACATTATCAGTGGTGTAGTAACTACCCTATCAGTAACGTAGTAACTACATTATCATCTAGGAAATGTATTAAAGGGTCAATTAATTGGGAGTCACAAGACATCTGGGCCACGCTGTACAAAATCGTTGTGCTGTATTTCTATGCTCCCATGCCTTTGGCTCCCCCTACACCGAACCGCGATGGTGAATCACGGCCAACTAAACCCTCTCCCCACGACGCTCACTGCGTGTGGAGGCCGTCATCCAGCAGTGGATAAAGGTCCGTGTGTGTGCGCGCATGTGGAGGCATGCGCACGTCTGTATGGATGTTGAACTTCTTTCGCACCGTACGTAGCCAACCGTGCTAAGTTCCTAAACGACCACAAATTCCATCAACGGCGAGGTATGGGGTAAGGGGTCGTCCATAAATGACGTCACGCACCTGGGGGGTGGGTTTGAGAAATGTGACGTCACATCAAAATGCGCAACTTTAAATCAATATAGACAACACGTTCTACTCAATTAAATAGACTTTTAAATACATTTTTCTCCTACAACATCAGAGTGCAGCGGCACATTGAATACGCACTACAATGACAATAGTTTAAAGCGATTTGAAGCATGTTTTATTTTTTCGGGGGGAGGGGGGCAGAGCTTCGTGACGTCATATTTAAGGGGGAGGGTCTGACTTTTTGTGACGATGTGTGACGAAGGGGGGGGGGGGTCAAAATCGCGTGACGTCATTTATGGACGGCCCCTAAGCGGGTAGGCACTGTGCTATAAACGGTGCTTTAAAATGTCCAAATGATGGGTCGCTTGGTTCAGCTATCATTTGTGTTAGCCATGTCGCTTCTGAGAAATAAGTTACATACCTCAGTGGTATGATGGGGGATAGTTTAGTTTTTATTTTAGTAATTGTTTCGGTGATGTGTTCCCCTTTCTTGTACTTTGCACGGCTATCGTGTTTGTGTACTGTTTGTTGTCGTAACGTTCTTACTCCGTGCCCCGACTGGGCATCTGTGAACAAAGAGCTTCATAGCTCATCGGATTCCTCCAGTAGAACTCAATATTCTCATTCCGATTCTGCTCAGCAACACGGAAGCCGTTTAAGCTTTTTTCGTTTAGTCTTTTTTTTGCCGATAAGCGGATCTGCGTTTGGCTGAGCGGCCGTGTGTTTAGACTGCCCGCTCGCTCGTTTGACCGCGATCGACAAAAATCTCGTCCGGAGTGGAACCAGGACGACAATCCGCCCACGCTACATCCTCCTCCTCCTGGGAGCACGCTCATTTAGAGGCATCCGGCGTTCCTTTATACGCGTGCGCATGTGTGTGTCTGTGTGTGCTTTCTAGTGAAGAACGCTACTGGGCAGTTGGAGGCAGTCGCCCTCCAACAACAACGGAGGGCGGAGGGGCGACGCTCACAACAACGAGCGGAGCGCCGGGTGGATAAAGCACAGCAAGTTGGCACAGTAAAGGGCACAAGTGGTGCATCGGCCAGTCGTCTCAGTCAGTCGACCCGTGGCATCTGGGTCTGCCCCGTGACCTCCTGCCAGCGGGCGTTCGACACTTCACGTGGCCTCAAGGTGCACATGGCCTGGCACAAGCGTCGTGGTGACGTCACCGCCACTTAGATGCGAAATGGCGGTTGTTGTTGTTGCGTTCTCGTGGGGAGAGGTGGTGTAGCGGTGAGCGCTACGCCGCGCCACGAACCCCGACAACCCGAGTTCGATTCACGCTCACGGCCACCAACGCCAGTGACGATTATTTGAACCGGTCCTGGGCGTACCCTAGGTCGACTCAGCCTCAAACGGCCCGGCGTGGTGTTGGCCACCCACCCCCTCGCTAACAGCACTTGCCCCAACAGTCTGCTACAGGCTATACGGGGGATCTTTGTCTTTGTGTGCGTTGGCACAGTAGGCGGTACAGCTGGTGGTGCATCTACCGGTCATCTCAGTCAGCCGACCCTATGGCACCTGCCTGGTCTGTTCCGTGACCTCCTCCTGTCAGCGAGTCCTTCGACACATCACGTAGTAGCCTCAAAGTGCACCTGGCTTGGCACAGGCGCCGTGGTTGACGTGACCGTCACTTCTTGGCGAATTGCGGTTGTGTTGGTGTTGGTGTGTGCGCGATTTTAAAATACTCACGTCTTCTGCGAGAACTGAAATCTTTCCCACAAACCCTTGTTCGTGTGTTGGTTCGCGGTGCCTGCAAAGGGAAGGAAAGAAGACGTCAGCAACCTGCAATCCTAGGGACTAGACTGGCCCTCGCCATGGCAATGTGGAATTTCCACCGGCGGTTCAGCGCCGCCCATTATGGAGAGATGAGCGCTGCCACCATCACTTTCCCGAGAAGAAGCGCAGTTTGAAGTTACGGGAGCTTCTCAAGGTTGGCAACGACGCTCACAGCAAGAAGTGCCTGGGTTCGATTCCCAAACTCGGGCAACTTTTCTACGCGGAGTTTGTAAATCCTCCACGATTGTTCTGGAAGGATTTCCTCCGGATTCTTCGTTTTTTTCCCATAGCAAGCAAAAAAAACCCCATACAACGCAACTTTCGTTGAACAAAACACTCCCCATTGATAAACAAAAAACACATCACATCCCATTGATAAAAAAAAAAACATCCCATTGGCCACATTCTAGTGAAATAACAAAAAAAAAATACTTGGAAATCGTTTGGGTTGTAATTACGCACCCGACATTAGCACGACCCCCACCTGTGACAACTTTGGCAGCACCCTCCTTAAAAAAAGAGTCGGAGAATGAGGTCTTTTTCACGCGTAAAGCGTAATAACCATAAGCACCCAAAATAAATAAATCAGCATAACAAACACAAATAAATATAAACCGAAATAAAAACCTTTGGCCGGAACACACCGCGGATTTATCCGCGCGCTATTCAAGCCGTGCTCGGTACACAAGGCGGGCGTGTGTTAGTGTCCTCGAAGTTCTGCAGCTACTTACGCGAGTGCTAAATAAATAAGCGGACGGTAAAATAATCGTAATAATAATTTCATTTGGTATAGCGTCATTCATGCGAACGGCATCCCGTAGGGCCGTACGTTCATTATATACGAGGACGAAATCCCATATACAGTCACGACTATTAAGCACATGTAAACCCTTGTACTAGCAAGGAAAAAACAAATGAATAAACAAATTAATAAATAGCACCAAAACAAAAAAAGCACAAACAACAGCAAGTAACTACATGTCTCCTCCCCGTATCATTTTCCCTCCGCATGAAAATAAAACAAATAATAATGCATATTGCCACTGCCTTCCGAGAGAGTAGAATTTCAGAAGTATTGGTTAAATCCAGGCAAGCGATTTTGTTATAATGTGGTGGGATAGATACGCGAAAATGCCCATTGTCTGCTAATGGCATTGCCCCGAAACGTCGCCTATTGTATATATATTATTTCACATTATGGCCACGGTGTTGTTGACTGTTGATAACGAGAGGTTTTTATAGATTTATTTAAATTTTTCTACCTACGTGACTTTACCAAAAGAACCAAAGAGTATAAACGAGAGTTGACTTGTCTGTGGTGCACGTCGCACCCACCACTTTCCTACCACATCCAACACTCGCCGCTCCTTACGAATTTCAACGGTGTGAAAACGAACCCAACGCAAGATACGAGCGGTCGAATGTCTCACTGAATATTCTCCCTGCCTCGCGGGTAGACAAAATCGTAGCCGCAGGCACACAGCAAGAGGTGTACGACCACATCCTGGACGTGGTGTGCCGGGTTGCAGAAATATATTTTTTTTGGTCTGGAACACCTACCCCGTACACACCCGGCTGAAATAGAGTCCTGTCTGAGACTCTGGTACGTGACGAATCGTAGCCGCAGGCCACAGCAAGGAGGCGCACTACCACATTGTGGATGTGGTGTGCGGGGTTGCAGAAATGTTGCCGCAGCGCATTACGAGATGCGGTTTTAGGGCATTCGGTGTTTATGAGTTAAGCGCCAACATGCGTGTTGCGGGACGCGATACAGATGTTACAAATAAAACATTCAAAAAAAAAAGACAGCTTAATGTTGTCATACGGCGTTTGTGCCAGCCCCTTCGGCGAATGCTGTCGAAAATTCGGACGCATTTGTGTCGTCAGCGGCGTCATTCGTGCCGCGTGCCCATCCCGTGAAATGTTTACGTCACATCGATCGCGGAACGAACCGATTGCCATCGTTCACCTCGTCGTCCGTCCCCATCCGCAGAATCGGTCCGCAGCCGAACGACGCCGAACCGATTCGGGGCGATGACTGCCCGCCCGCCCGCCCCCGCTTGCGATGTGTTCGCACTCGCCCCCTGTCACGTGTTTTTATTTTGGTAGGAACGTCGGCGAATTTAAATGTCCTCTTGCCTCAACAGAGAATAAAGCTTGAAATTACAGGAATGCCCCCTCGCCCCCCTCCTCCCCCCACCATTGAGAAATGTATATTTAATATACCTCTCAAGAGAGCACAAGGCCGTCTATAAAATTAAGATGCATCTCAAATTTGTTTTTCGATGAATGTTTACGTTTTACGTGGCGTCGTCGTTCATGCAAATCGCATCTTCTAATCGCCGAGGGAGTCGGCGCTTCCAACGATTGCCCGGGGCTTTGTAATCCTGCGTTGCATTCTGGTCAGTGCCAGACTAAGCTAGTGCGGGGCCTGTAGCATAAGTTATAGAGGGGTCCTAAATAAATCAATAAAACACACGTAAATATTAAAACACAGTTGTTTTACTCATTCTTTGGGACTTTCGGTAAAGTCGCGTAGATAGTTTCAAAGAAAATAACAAAAAACTACGACGTTTCGATTGCAACACAAGCGTTCGTCATGTTTTGTTATTTTCTTTGAACCTATCTACGTGGCTTTACCGAAAGACCCAAAGAATATGAATTCCTACAGTCACGAAAGCTTTAAGTCAATATTTAAATGTTTTACTTGCAAAGTAATTGTATGCTTTATTTGCTATACAACCAGATAATACGACAAATCGCTAACCTTAAACACCCAGTCGTTCATAAAAGTTGAAGGCAGGTATAGTACTATAGTAATAGATCAAGTGCAGAATCACTGAACTGGAATTGATAGCTTGAAAGCATTTAGCGCGGGGCCTTTGAAAGTGCGGGGCCCGTAGCATCATATGTAGCTACTACATAAGTAGCTACTACATATGTAGCTACTACATGTATAGCTTCTACACATGCAGCTACTACACATGCAGCTACTACATGTATAGCTACTACACATGCAGCTACTACATATGTAGCTACTTGTGCTACTAGGATAATCAGGCACTGGATTCGGGCGGTTTTTACAGACAATAAATGAGCGCAGCATCCATGTGCGAGGAAATCGGATCAGCCGGTGAAGACCGCGCTTGTGTGAGGGAGAAACGATCTATGCCCCACGCAGAATGGAGAGATATGAGTCCACACCTTCGCGTGCCGCCTTCTCCTGGCAAAGCCAGGGTATGTATGGCATATCCTGGGCGCTCACGGCAAGGGAGTTTCGCAACATTCGTGTGGTAATCCACTAACCCCCCTGTTGCAGCCTCCATAGTGCTGCGTTACAGACAGACAGCTACGTGCAGCGGTTCCACCACTGCCAATGGGCTAAACATGTCGTTTAATTGGCATGGGGGAAAAAAACACGTAATTTGTTTTTGTGTAAATATTTCATCCATCAGCCCAGCCAAGGAATTGTCAAAAGAGCATCAGAGGAGCAGATGTAGAGTCTAGCCCAGCTACAAATTAAGGCTTTTATTCATTTGTTGCTTAATTTATTCATTTGTCGAAGTGCAGTGTGCATGAATGTATTAATGAGCCTTCACAAATGAGATGTGCAACAAAAAAACGGCTTCTCAAAATGAATTTAATTACCGCAACGTATTAATGAATTATCAGGGTCCGGCAGCGTGGGCGCACAGAGACTAACAGACTCACACAGAGACCCATAGACTCACACAGAGACCCATAGACTCACACAGAGACCTACAGACTCACACAGAGACCCATAGACTCACACAGAGACCCATAGACTCACACAGAGACCTACAGACTCATGCAGAGAGCCATAGACTCACACAGAGACCCATAGACTCATGCAGAGAGCCATAGACTCATGCAGAGAGCCATAGACTCACACAGAGACCATAGACTCACATAGAGACCCATAGACTCACACAGAGACCCATAAACTCACACGTAGACCTATAGACACACAGAGACCCATAAACTCACACAGAGACCCATATACTCACACAGAGACCCATAGACTCATGCAGAGAGCTATAGACTCATGCAGAGAGCCATAGACTCACACAGAGACCATAGACTCACATAGAGACCCATAGACTCACACAGAGACCCATAAACTCACACGTAGACCTATAGACCACACAGAGACCCATAAACTCACACAGAGACCCATAGACTCACACAGAGACCCATAGGTTCACACAGAGACCCATAGACTCACACAGAGACCCATAAACTCACACAGAGACCCATAGACTCACACAGAGACCCACAGACTCACACAGAACCCCATAGACTCACACAGAGGCCCATAGACTCCATGCAGAGAGCCATAGACTCATGCAGAGAGCCCATAGACTCACACAGAGACCATAGACTCACATAGAGACCCATAGACTCACACAGAGACCCATAAACTCACACAGAGACCTATAGACTCACACGGAGAGCCATAGATTCACACAGAGACCCATAGACTCACACAGAGAGTCATAGACTCACACAGAGACCATAGACTCACACAGAGATTCATAGACTCACACAGAGACCCATAGACTCACACAGAGACCAATAGACTCACACAGAGACCCATAGACTCACACAGAGACCCATAGACTCACACAGAGACCCATAGACTCACACAGAGAGCCATAGACTCACAGAGACCATAGACTCACACAGAGACCATAGACTCACACAGAGACCCATAGACTCACACAGAGAGCCCATAGACTCACACAGAGACCCATAGACTCACACAGAGAGCCATAGACTCACACAGAGACCCATAGACTCACACAGAGACCCATAGACTCACACAGAGACCCATAGACTCACACAGAGAGCCATAGACTCACACAGAGACCATAGACTCACACAGAGACCCATAGACTCACACAGAGAGCCATAGACTCACACAGAGACCCATAGACTCACACAGAGACCCAT